GTATTTTATAAGTAAATCAAACTTCAACTGAAATTCAGTAGAAAAAAGACTGCACAAAACAATTGGTCATAAGGAGCTTATGCTTATTTTAGACAGTGCTACTATTTGTCAGATAATTGAATTGTAAAAAGCTTGTATTCTTGAACCTGTCTACTGGTGTGCTATATGATTCTTTTGACTTCTTGTTTTTTGCACAGATTTATGTTCTTGCTGATTCAACTCAATTTTAGGCATCGGTCAAGTCCATCAAAACGGACACTGTCATAGTCAGTTATGGCAATGATACGAAAAACGACGAGGTTTCACTTTATTTCTTTCCTCTTGTCATCAGTTGTTCGGTGTTGGGTAATTTCTTTCAGTCGTCATTTGTAACTTTACAAAGTTTTCGGAATCTGAAACGTGTTCATTCTAAATAAATAATGTATTCTATGTACGACGTGAATATAGGTGAAATTCGAAGACTGCCGTTTACCACCTCGTTCCACTAAGACCGAAGTGTTAAAAGTAGGGGATGTTGTGGAGGCATTGATGAAACAGGACGGTGATGCTATCTTTGGTTGGCAAAAAGCTAAAATCAAAGAATTGAGGGTAATGGCTTTAGCATATCACTAAAAAAATCAATTTGGATTTTCAAACTAAGAAGATTAGATTAATTCGTTATAAATTTATTTCAACATTTTGAAATCTACAGGGTGACTTAGCAGCAATCGAAAGCGTTGAAGGCCCTCATCGCATGGACATTGTATCATCGGAGCATATACGTACGTTACCTGTGAAGTGCACTCCGCTGAAGCAGAGTCAATTTAAACATGCCAAGATACATGTTCCAGATGATCTTCGTAACTACTTCAGACGCCCCAAATCATATGCTGACTTTGCTGCTACCGTCAAAAGTGTATTTGTGGAATATGATGAGAAGAATGGGGATCTTTTGCTCTCCGTTAGTTACTTGTTTTTCTATTCAAAGATAATATCTGGAACTTCCAAAGATGGCAGTCCCTCTTTTGGAGGAAATGTGATTTCATCATTTATATTTGGGATGTATTTTTCCGAACAACTGCTATCTGTGCAGTGGAATATTTACTCTTTTTTGTGGGTATTTAATTATGTAATCATACGCTGCATCTCTATTTTAGACATTCGAAGAACAAGCAGTCAAGCGTGCTACTATTCTCTCAGATATGTATTTCAAGGATTCTCGCCAAAAAATGCAACTTCTTCAACGCCAGGAGGTTTGTTGTAAGAGTGATTTTCCTAAATTTAGTGTTGTCACTTACATGAGCTTTAAAGATTGATTGATGAAGAGTCGATTTAAATCATACCATATCGTAGTCTCTAGTTAAATCTTCAGGTGGGCAAACTCAGGAGCAAGAAAAATTAAGTTCAGTTTCTTCCCATATTAGATTTTATCTTAAATGTCCCGCAAATAATTGATGAATGAACAAAAGCCTTTGCTAGTCAAAAATAGTGAAACTTTTTCAGGAAGCTGCTCGTTACCTAGAGAATTCAGCTCTTAATACATGGGCTCACGTAGAAGAATTTGCTGTGCCGTTTGATTTGATGGGTCTTGCTATAGGTTCTCACGGAGCAAATATCCAAAGTGCACGCGAAATTGAAGGCGTTGAAGATATTCAACTAGTGGAGAGCAGCGATGGTCATACTCCCGTACTCTTTAAAGTAAGACTGGTCTTCGGTTTGTTGGCTATCAGTTTTGATTTTTGCTGCCAGTAGTGTAATCATGCAGGTAGTCTACTCAAATATTAATAGGTTTTCGCTCAAAATCCTGAAGCTGCCGCCGCAGCTCGTTCCCAACTCGAATATGCTGTGGAATCGTTTGATGTACCTCGTGGAATGGTTGGGAAAGTTATTGGTAAATCTGGCAAGACTATTCAGGTAATCGAGAACAAGCTTTTGTTTGATCTCTGGCTCTTGATCTCGATGTCTTTTCGATTTTCAGGATATTGTCGATAAATCTGGTGTGGTACGCGTGCAAATTGAGGGTGGCGATGATCGAAATCGAGTCGAAGAGAATGTGAGATTTATTCTTTTTATCTATTAACGGAGCAGTATTTTTCTCAAGCTTATCATTAGAGTTATGTATCTCAAAATTGATTGGTTTATAACAATTATATTCAGGCTGATAAACCTGTTCCATTTGTGTTCACTGGCACCAAGGATTCGATTTCAATGGCAATTCTATTAATTGAATATCATTTGCGTCATCTGAAGGAGATGGAAGAGATGCGGCTTAGTGTGGATGAAATGCAGCGACAAATCTATTCCAGGTCAACCCCTCCTCCTGGTGGAATGAATGGCAATGGGTAACTAAAAGTTTAATAAAGTGCTGCAGAACAGTGTGTCATGCTTCAATTTTCGAATTACCATAAGACCGGGATTTTAGCTCTTCAAAATTCCTAGGGCGAATTGTAGCATTCAAATTTCCCATTCATTCTTGCTATTTTCTGATAAAATCATGAAGAGATTGTTGATAATAAAAAAGATACGCAATCTTGTTTCTACATTTTTCTAGTTATGTATTAAGTCATGAAATTTGAATCTATACAATTTTTCTTTGATGTTGATTTTAATTTAACACCTTTCACTTAACTTTTAGTTATCGTTTTGAACGTGGTGGATATGAAGGTGGAAACTTTGGTGGTGGGCGTGGTGCACCGTATAGAGGACGTGGACGTGGTGGTTCGTTCCGTGGTGGCTTTCGTCAAAATAGAGGTTATTTTTAAAGTAGTTATTGTAAGAGAATTTGGTTGCTCGTTAGCTTAAGACTACTTTTATAAGACTCTAGTTTCTATCACCAATATTAGGTGGTGGAGATCAAGATGAGCGACGCCGTATTGTTGATGATGAGAAGGGAGGTGAGAAAGAAGAAAGTGCTGAGAGAGAAACTCGTCGTAGCGCCGTTGGTCGCGGTCGTGGAGGACCACGACGTGGAGGTTTGTTGTTTATATCCATATATTCAGGATTATATATGAGATTCTTTTCGAACTGAGTTGAATCATAAATGTATGCACTCATGAAAAAATGGTATATTGTCAGTGGTTCAGAATTGAAGTTGCAACTGATTTTGAGTAGTGTAAAATATATGAGTATGAATATCCTTCATAACTTTTCACCGTTCTCAGGGCGAGGTCATCCAGGACAGGCAGTAAATGGTAGTGGGTAACGTAGTCATGTAGTGGAGTGGTTGATGAACAAGCTGTCTCCAAATTTTTCAAGAATTTCAATA